GTTGGTAGAAAGGATCCTTAACTGTGAACCTAAATTGTTATCTTTGTAAAATATAGTTGTTTCTTTCTTATTCCAGGTAATGCTGGTAATGTACTAGACGGGTATAACTGTCCTACAAAGGATTCTAAAGATTCTGAAAGTGATGAGGAGGCTGATTCCAGATCTGAGAATGAGGATCCAGTGGAACCAGGAATGAGTTTCAGTGCCAATATTCCAAAATGGATGAGCACTACTGGAGCAACGAAACCAGTTACGAAGGACAAGATTTACTATCATATGCCGTACTATGCAGACAAACCGTGCGTTTACCTCAAGGAGCAGTTCGAAGATCATCGCAGACGTCTTTATAATTCTAATATCATTGAAAAAATCATCGATAAATTGGTAGGTTTATTTCATATCTTTGTTGTTTTCTAGTTAGTTTTTTTTCAGCCAAATCAGGACATATTTTGTTTAACTTTCAAATGTTTGCATTGAAAATAATATCTTGCAAGAAAAAACAAATACTCATTGGCCCTTCTCTTTCTGCAAAACAAATACTCATTGGCCCTCCTTGTTCTGCAAAACAAATACTCATTGGCCCTCCTGGTTCTGCAAAACAAAAACTCATTGGCCCTCCTTGTTTTTCAAAACAAATACTCATTGGCCCTTCTTGTTCTGCAAAACAAATACTCATTGGCCCTCCTTGTTCTGCAAAACAAATACTCATTGGCCCTCCTTGTTCTGCAAAACAAATACTCATTGGCCCTCCTGGTTCTGCAAAACAAATACTCATTGGCCCTCCTTGTTCTGCAAAACAAAAACTCATTGGCCCTCCTCGTTCTGCAAAACAAATACTCATTGACCCTCCTGGTTCTGCAAAACAAATTCTCATTGGCCCTTCTTGTTCTGCAAAACAAATACTCATTGGCCCTCCTGGTTCTGCAAAACAAATACTCATTGGCCCTTATCGTTCTGCAAAACATATACTCATTGGCCCTTATCGTTTTGCAAAACAAATACTCATTGGCCCTCCTCGTTCTGCAAAACAAATACTCATTGGCCCTCCTTGTTCTGCAAAACAAATACTCATTGGCCCTCCTCGTTCTGCAAAACAAAAACTCATTGGCCGTCCTTGTTCTGCAAAACAAAAACTCATTGGCCCTCCTTGTTCTGCAAAACAAAAACTCATTGGCCCTCCTTGTTCTGCAAAACAAATACTCATTGGCCCTTATCGTTTTGCAAAACAAATACTCATTGGCCCTTATCGATCTGATGATGTAGTGAGGTTTAGGGATGTTGAGTCTTGGCAGTATGTGTTATTCTGATCAAGAACAAGATTCGTTGATTCCCTTAATGCCCCTTCCCATATTAAAAGGGGGTGGGGAAGGGGCAATATTTGAAGATACTAACTAGATAAGGTCTGTTTGTTTAATAGATATTCACTATAATTCAATCTTTTTCTAGGATGATGGATTACAAGAAGTTCATGATATGATCCGACAAGAAATCCCGTTTCCAGAGCGACGACTACGGGGAGTGTTTGAAGAATTAGGTCATGGATGTTCCCGTTTTGTTTCCTTGGTGAAAGGAAGTGGGGGTGGAGCCTCAGCTGGTAAAACTAAACTAGATCGGGAACGTCACAAGATACTGGTTAGGCAGATGGTAGGTAGACAGTTTTCATCTTATTTTGAGTGACTAAGGACTAAAAGTTGACCTTTTTTGAATCATTTCCAAGATTGCTGAGAAGGAGACTCAAAATTGTCAAGGGGTCAATTCTAGTAATATAAGATAATTGAAAGATCTCTTTTGTCGTAAAAATGCAGAAAAGTAGGATGTAAAAGACTTGATATTTTTCTAGACTCCCTAAATGAAACTCAAATATTTTTTTTCTCAACCCTACAAAAAATTTCTGGTTGAAAGCTGACGTTGGGCTGATTGTCAGAAACACTTACTGTGGCATTAGAATTTTTCGAATGTTTAAGATCTGAACCCAAGGCAACTTATTACCTAGCAGACGACAAACTTGCTACAAGTTTTATTGTGGACTTCATGGACTATTATATGTTGCTTCTCTTCCAGGACCAGTTATCTACCTTGGCTCGTACTGTTAAAGCCACGATAACGAAGAATAATCTAAAAGAGAAAATGAGATCTGGTAATAACTGTCTGTCAAAACTACGTAAACTTAAAGATGAGGTAAGCTCAATTTCATTTTTATTTTAGCGTTAATTAAGTTGAAGTCTTCTTCAGAATTTTTCTTACCCTGGGGAGTATTCAATCCCATGGCACTTAGTCGCCTAGCAGACGACACACTTGGTACAGACTGAGTTTTTAGAGTGTGAAATAGTTTTGTTATCAAATTTCAGCCCCAGCCTTCTTTACCAGACGTCTATATTTGGATGATTGCTTCCAAGAAACGAATCGCTTACCAACGATTGTCTGCTAGAGATATAATATATTCGGTTGTCGAGGAAGAGAAGGGCAAGGATTGTGGGAAGGTTGTTACCCTATTACTCAAGGTGAGTTATCATCAACTCAGACAAGCTTAATGGGCACGTTCCAGGCCCATAGCCAGACTTGAATGTTTGGAGGGTCAAGTAATATACCTGGAGGGCAATGGTGTATGGTGTTAAGTTGCAGGGTCGGTTGTCAGAATCAATTTTTCGGGGGTTGTCCCCCCTAAATAGTTCTCATAAACATCATAACATCAATTATAGAGCAAAACATGTTGTTACTCAGTCACCTCAGTGAAGATTGTGAAACTCTGAGTAACAACATGTTTCAGGTTCTGTTTTAATATTTTTGTAACACAAGTCAGGTAAGTATTATTCTTTAATAAAAATTTTTAATTTTGTTTTAGTTACCTGGTAAGAAAGCTGATGGTGAATCAGGCTGGACAATCCAGGCTAAACTACAGTTGTATATATGGTTAGGGTTACTGAAGCATAAAAAAGACTATTTGAAGGGACTACCAATGGGATACGAGGAAACTAAAGCGTTAAAACATTCAACTAAAACACAAGCTGTTCCCCCACCATTTATATACTTTACAGGTAAACATCAACCGATGCAAGGTTGACAAACATAAATATCAGTGGTGGAGCCAGGTTTACGTCCGAGGGGGGCGAAATATCTGGTATTGCCTGAATTTCTAACCTAGTTATGAGATTTTTGCCTGATAAACTTGCTTTTGGGGCTGCGAGGGAGGGCGGCTGCCCCCTCTGCCCCACTTTGGCTCCGCAACTGACAAATATCAAAAAAAAATTTTTTGAAAGAGATACTGAGTTGACAACCTCTAGAAGGGTGGCATCAGGTATTCTGAAAGGTGTTCACCCTGTATCTGAATCAGCTCCTTATTGCTTTATAGAGAAGCATGAATTGGAATAAAATATTTGAACTTTGAACTCTGTTTTATTTCATAGTAACTTATTACTATTAGTAAGTTCAACAAAATTTTGCTTAAAAGATTGGAATATTCAGCATTTTAGTCAGTCATTAATTTAATTAATACAATTAATTTTTGATTATTGTTTTATTTTTACAGAGAAACAGACATTCCAGTTACGAGCCCACATGTATCAAGCGAGACAGTTGATTGGTTCAGATGCATCTGGTCTGTCAGATCCATTCGCTCGTATCGCGTTCAGTGAACAGAGTATATGTACACAGGTGATCGAGGAGACGTTGAGTCCGACCTGGGATGAGTTTCTGATATTAAACGAAGTAGATGTTTATGGATTAATTGAAGATATTGTAGACAACCCTCCCACCATTATTGTAGAAGTTTTTGATCAGGACAATGTGGTAAGATGAATTTGAAATGATGTCTTAGACAAAAGGAAATATGGGTTCATGAAATGGAACAGTTTGTCTTGATTTTCAGTGAAATACTTAATTTGGGAGTTTTCTTGATCAAAGATTTTGGTCTTCTATAGTTTTATCGTCTGAAGACAGACCGTCATCATCCAATCAGATTCGTGATTATCGACATGGTAGAAAACGACCGACGTCTGCCTGTAACTTTACAGTTATTATTCTGTCAATTGCTGAACCATAAATATGACATAAAGATGCATAAAATTACCCAAATTCATAAAAATCTGAACCTTTTCATATTCCCTTTTCCTAACCTGTCATTCTGGAAGACGAATTTGTTTCCTTAACATGTAAATTGAAATTTTGTCTTCATCCATTGATTTGCTCAATTTCAGGGAAAATCAGAATTTATTGGAAGATGTTTATGCAAACCTGTTGTCAAACAGAGTACGGAGAAATACGACCCCCCGAAATTCCCCCCTCGTCTAGAATGGTGGGATATTACACGAGGAATGGATAGGGCGGGAGAATTACTCGCGGCTTTCGAACTTCTTCAGGTATTCAAATTTTAGCTGTTTTATTCGTTTCAGATGTTTTAAGTTTCTTTCCTTGTTATTTTTTGGTGGTTTTGTATTTTATATTTTGAAAGGAGAAGTGACTATGGTCACTAACTATGTTATTGAGATCTTGATGTAAACGTAAGGCTGAACAATTTAAAATTGAAGGCTTGGATGTTATAAGTCTAATGAAACATGAGTAAATAAGATCTTCCAAAGAAATGTTTACGTTAATTAATGAAGGCTGTAGATTTTAAGATTTAGGACTCCAGTCTGATATTAAAGGACTTGTCTGAAAGTTAAAAAGTAAACAGTGTTTAAGTCTATGTGACAGATTTATGTATAGTTATATATCCAATCCAATCTTCATTCCCCCTCTATATAAAGCTTGCTTATCCAGTTCTGGA